GCTCACAAAGAAAGGCTCAGAGGGCTTTTCAGTGTGGAAATTTTCTCCCAGCATCCAGCAGAAAACCTGCACAGAGCAGCTGTAACCCAGCAGTCATGGCACCCTCCCGGCCCCTGCTGGTGCTGCCCACCCCACAGCTCCATCGTGAACAGCATCACTGGGAATTTACTGCCAGCTGGGACGGGAGGAGGTGTCCCCAGGCTGGGGCAGCACTCTGTCCCCACAGGGAGCCTGGTCTCTCGCTGGGGACCAGCGGGAAGTTTGCTCTCCACACGAGAGCAGCTTTCTGATGAGATGTGGGAACGCAACCACGGGGATTCCCAAAGAGCCTCTTCCCATCCTACAGCCAGGGCTGTACAAGAGAGGACCTTTTCCCAGTGAGAGTGAAGGAAAAGCAGCCCAAACCACCCTTTGCTGGTGTCAGGCTGGAGAAAGGGGGTCTCCTTTTAGCCAGAGCGGCCAAAAACTGACCGAGAAGSAGCCAGTGGTCACTGCAAGGCACAGCCAGCCTGCAAGCCAGAGAAAGAGAGGCTCAGAGCAACTCAGCTGCTCCCTCCCCTGCCAGTGTCACTGGGGAAAACACAGCAAGCCCCAAAAGGGCAGATTCTCCTACCCCGGGGTCAAACCTGCAGCCCCCAAAAGTTGCAGCAGCCCTTCCTCAGTTTCTCCTCCAGGAGGAGAAGGATCTGGTGCCAACAATGCCCAGCCTTCCTGGGAGAAAGAGCTGCACACCCTGCATGCATGGGGCTGACAGCCATGGCCCCAGCTCCACAGGAACAGTGATTTTCTCCTCTGCTGCCCGGCTGTGCTCACTGCCTCTCCAAAATCAGCAGCTTGGGCAAAGCCTGCACTGGGAAAAGACACGGCTGGAGGGAAAAACGAGTCCAAACAAACTGTCTGGTCCCTGACCATCACAGATCGGCTTCTTGCAGCCAAGGGACACAAAGCAGATGCCAGCAGCCCTGCGAGGAGGTGCAGGGTGCTTGGAGAGCTGTCTGGCCAGCCACTGGCTCTGCTTCCCATCTTGGTGCTGCCCTCACGGCACAGCTTTGGTAAMACTGAGCTCCTGGCAGTGTCACAGCAGAGGAAAGACCCTCCTGCTGCCCTGGCTGTGCACCCAGACCGTGSAGGAAAGCTGCAAAGTCCAAAGACCGCGCTGCCACTCGAACTGCGTGGCGTGACGGCGCCTTAAACGCTGCTTGGAAAACCCTTGGCTCGCTTCCCTGCTCCGGCTCTGCCTGGCTCCCGCTGCCTTTCACCCAGCTCTGCCACTCCAAAAYGGGCACAGCCTGTTGGCATCACCCCCCCTACCCGTGACCCTCTAGGKCTCCACATCAGGAAAATGATTTCCAGGCCATCAGCATCCTGATTGCATCAGTACAAAAAAAAACCAAAAAAACAACAAACCATCAAAACCTTTCCAAATATAGTCAGAGGCACAAGCCCTCCATGAAGCTGATCAAGTAAAACACACATCAGGCCACCCTGGTTTCTGCAAAGGACATTAAAAAGTAAGAATAATTATCAGTCTGTGACCGATTTTTCCAAGTATCCTATCTCTTCAATGAGACATCCAATCTCCTCCCACAATTTCCCCAGCAACTTTCCAAAATAAACAGATAAATAGAGAAAACRAAACACCCCTGACATAAAATTTCAACCACATTGGATAAATTTGGGGGCAGCTTGCAGAGCATGAGCCTGGAACCGTTTGTCAGGGAGATTACAGCCTTGCTTTTCACGCAYGGAGACCGAGTGTCAAGTTGTCCCTTTCTCCCTCGACTCGAGATCTCAGCAAGGAATATGCCAGGAAATAMGAAGCAAGAGGGAACTGCTACATTTCTCTGGGGCTGGTTTGTTTTTTTTTGTTTTTTTTCATTTGTTTGTTTTTTTAACAACTCTGTTCCTCCTCACTGCTGTCTCCAGACAGTTTCTCCATCCCTGACATCTGCTTTTGGTCTCTTCTTCACCAGGCAGGTGAGGAAATCCATTCAGGGCAGCCCTGGATCTCCSTGTGCTCCGTGCAACGTGGGAAGAGCATCTCCTGTGAGTACTAATGAGCCTGAGGCTCTTGGGCATCCTGGGGAGGAAGTGTCTGCCCAGAGATGCCCCAAAGGGGCCAGAAGGGAGGAATTAAGAGCCCTTTTGCTTTCCTCCATGCCCGTKTCTGCTCGTCCCTCTGGGACTGTTTTTGCACGGGGTTCGTAGCCCTGTGTGGTTCTTCCATGCTCCTCTGGGGTCTGTAGGAGCAAAAAGCTTCGAGGGAGAGAGATAAATCCTCATCCCCAGCTCCCTGAAGCCATCCAGGGAGGAAGAGGCAGCAGAGATCCGCAGGGATGGGAGCCGGGGAAAGGCTGAGCCAAACGCAGCTCGACCCGGGCGCTYCGGGCACAGCACCCGGCAGGGACCGGGCTGGGGGCTCGCCCTGGCTCCCCCAASATCGGCTGCGAGCCTGGGGAAGGCTGGGAGCCCTTCTGGCTCTGGCACGGCTGACTCTAGAGGGAGCTGGATGCCAGCGCCGAGCAGATGGCCGAGCTTCCAGACCCCCAGACCTCAGGCGAGGGATTCTCACTCAGCCCAGGTCCTCTTCACCCATCTCGAACCAGCCCTTCCTTCTCCTCAGGCTCCYCCGCCTTCTCTGTCTCCTCAGGAGCTCTTTGCAGCACCAAATCTCACTTCTATTTGCAGCCAGGTTTCCTTAGGAAGCCAGGCACATGAAATCACAGTTTCCATGTCTGTCTGTCTGTTCACGTCGCTCCCCCCCTCTCTCTTTCCAATTTCAGTTAAAATCGCCAGAGGGACAGAGATAACAGAAAAAGCCAAGTTCCTACCAGGTTCCTGAAAACAGCTGGAGAGATTCCACCCACACCCCTGGTGAGGAAAATCCCTGTCAGGGAGCTCAGCCCGTAGTGGATGCCAGATATGAAGAGCACAGCAGCCCTCAGCAGAGCCAGGMTTGCACAGCTGGGTGCTCCGATGTCCAGGAGCATGGAAAACAYGCAGATCCCAGCACTCTGAGCTTGGACAGAGCTCCAGGATGTTCTTCAGTCACGAGAAGAGCCACTGTCATTTGTGACCAACCTGTTGGTTGGTTGTCCAGTGATGCTTGGATCTTTACTACAGGATCTAAATTTCATTAGGACTTWTCCCCTGGACTGAATCTCCTCAAAGCCACAGCAGAAACCCAAATTCTGTCCTAGATTTCAACCCTGAGTGTATCAGGACACTACAACGGGCAGGGAAGCGGCTGTGCCTGTACTACATCATTTGAGGGGCTGTAGAGGCTCCCAAAATCAAGGACATAAACCAAAGTTTGTGCAACATCATGTGCAGCAGTGCCAGGAGAGAGGACGAGGTGCAGCCTGAGCAGCTCCAGGACAGTGAATATTCACATCTCAGGAGCGATTCACAGCCAACAGATCACAAAAAGCTCAGTGAAAGCGGGGGAGAGAGAAGCAAGAAAAGTTTCATCAGGTTAGAACTACGCTAGCCTGCGTTGGCATTCWGGGATGCTGGACACAAAGAATTCCTCCAACCTCCTCAGGAATCTTGAATCMAGACCCTGGTGGAGAGGAAACTTTGACCAATGTGGCTCCCCAGCGCTGATTTAGGAGCTGTTCATGTCAGCAGAGCTGGTGGGGTGTAACAGGAGTCAGACAGCTTTCCTGGGGAGCTGGTGGAAGGATTCCACCTTGGAGGGCAGGCTGTGGTCCCAGAAATGCCACCTGATGTCCCTGTTTGGACTAAATGTGCTGGACAAGGGGCAGAGCTGCTATTGAAGAGAAGGAAAAGGGGAGAAAGAAACCAATCAGAAAGGAAAGAGGAGAAAGAAACAGCTGATAGATGCTCCCAAGGGATCACAAACGCCTTTCTTTGATGCCAGCCACGTCCCCAGCCAAAGCCACAAAGCACAGCCCTTCCTTTCCTGGATGCCACCATCACATCGATACACGAGCGTCCCAGCTTCCCTTTTCTCAATAAAAGMGCACCCCTTCCCTTTGTGACGGCGACAAAACGCGCACCAATTCCCAGGCGGGTGCCAGGGGAGCACCCAGAGAGCCCCGGCCTCTCCCAGCTTTCATTTCCATCGCCTGCCTCGGGAATTTCCARCATCTGGGACCGGAGGAAGGAACAGGTTCCCGCAGAGCGCGAACGAAAAGGAGCCCTGAAAGCACACGCTGGCACCCACACGCCCGTGACCTTGTGATTTTACTACGGCTTTCATTTTCAGGCTCCAGCCCTCCCCAGCGCTTGCTGCATTTCTGCAACATTTTGGCAGTTTCGCTCTCGCCTTGGAGACAGAGCGGAGCGTGGAGTTGTTTTGCACAGCTCGGCGAGGAGGGAAGCAACAAGGCTGTGAATAAAGAATTAAACTCGAGATGACGGAAGAGCCCCAGCCATGCCTCCACCTAGACAAAGCCTACGTGATGAGCGCTGCTTAATGCCAGCCCTTAATAACGCACGCTGCTCGAGGCCAAAATTGGGATTTTCAGCGTGGCTGCAGGTGCCTCCGACCACTCACCTCGGCAAGCGTTTCGAGGCAGGAAAAGCAGCCYTGCCCCGAGGCACGCACAGCCCCGCCAGGCGGAGGCACCGCGCCCCGCCGCGCTCGGGGGGATGCGCCCGAAACCCCCCGGGGAAGGAGATTTTCCTCAGCCCCCTGTCCGACCCCACCTGCCCGGCAATGCCCGGCTCTGGGGCTGGAGAAGGGGAAGGAGACCCCGCCGCAGCCGCGCCTCCCGTCGCGACATGTCGCGATTGGCCGGCGGGGGAGGGGGGCGATCCCTTTCGCCTGCCCGGTGATGCCGGGCTGGGCTGTGGAAAGCGCTCCCGGCTGTGTGTGTGTGTGAGTGTGCGTGTGCGAGCATCCCACCCCCGCCTCGCCAGCGGCTCCCGCACGGCTCCGGGTCCCCCGTGCCGCTCCCCCCCGCAGCCTCCCCCGGCTCGGATCCCGCCGTAGGGAGCGGCGTGAGGCTGGGCAGGGTCGGTGGCGGTCCTACCTGGCGGGGAGCGGCAGCGGGCGTCGCCGGGGCCGGCTCAGCAGCGGCGGGGCATCGCGGCGGGGCGGGCGGCGGAGCCCCGGTGTGCACGGCTGCGGCGCGGCGGCGGGCGGGAGGGCGAGAGAGAGAGAGAGAGAGAGAGAGAGAGGGAGGGAGAGGGAGGGAGGGAGGAGGGAGGGAGGAAGGAAGGGAGGGATGGAGGGATGGATGGAGGGAGCGCGCGCGCACACACACACCCGGGGATGCGCTCAGCCGGCCCGCCCCGCAGGCAGCGTCCCCTCCCTCCGCATCCCTCCGCCGCCGAGCGCGGACAGCCGCGGAGCCGCCGGCCCTCCTCCCGGGGAGCAGCTCCAGCCCTCCTCCTCCTCCTCCTCCTCSTCGTCCTCCCGCTGCTGGAAATATTTCCCGAATTCCTCCTCGGAGCGAGGGACTTTGAAAGGCAGGGCCGGTTGCGGACCCACCCCCAGCAGCCGTGCCCTCCTCGCTTGGGGCAGTCCCCAGCCCTGCCCTGCCCGTCCTCCCCGGGACAGTCCCCACCCGTGCCCTGCCTGCCCCCAGTCGTGCCCTGCCCTGGCCGGTCAGCTCCTGGCCGCAACCCCCGGGGCGACCTGCAGCCTGCCGGGGCGACCCTGAACCCGTTCGCACCGTTCGGGGAGGGTGAGAGGGGTGAGATGGAGGCGGAGAGCCCTGGAAAGATGGAGACAAGGGAAATGTTTGTGTGTGTCTGTCTCTGTCTCCGTGCCCCACAGTGCTGCCGCTGTGGGGAGGCACGAAGGAGATCTGAAGCATCCCAAGGGGCCCTGGCTTGAGGTTCTCTCCCCTGTCACATCCTCAAAGTTGTGGCTTTTAAACAGCCGGGGCCATGGGGTGAGAGGCAGGAGCATGAGGACCCACGGAGCACCCCCGGAGCCACGGAGCACCCCCGGAGCACGGAACCTCCTGTCCCCACCCCGGGGTCACCGCGCCCCGGGAGCTCCGGCTGGCACAGAAGGACTCGCTGCACCTCGGGCTGACCAAAGTGTCCTTCCTGTGGGCGATTCCCCTTGCACCATGCCTGAGTGACTCCTCCACCCTTCGCTGGCTCCAGCAAGGAGCAGATGAACCCATTGTCCCACCCTGCGGGCAAAACTCGGTGACTTTAGGAACTTAAAATAGGACGGGAGCTAATCGCTCGCACACYGGTGTGCGAGTACCCAGCGACCTTGAGGAGCCCTCTGTGCCCTGATCCTCAGGTGCAACAAGAACTGCAGAGAGGCAGAAAAATTCTTTTAGCTCCTGCACCCTCTTGCACCTTCTCCCTCTTATCTTCTCGGCTGTGCCTGTAATTTTGCTCCCCACTGGCAAGATTCTTACTTGCTTTCAAAAAAAAAAAAAAAAAAATTTTTGCACCATCATGTCCTTCAGCCGAGACAGAAAAATAAATTTCTCTGTTCAACATGTCCAACCCAGAATTTTGCCTTTGGATTTCATTTGTGCTTTTCTTACTTCCTTCCAAATTTTTTTTTTTTTAAAGATTTTTGCACTACTTCAGCAGAGATGGAAAACTAAGTTTCCCTGTTCAATGTGAGGTGTAAGACATGGTGACAATGCCACAAAACTCCTTTATAAAGTACTTTTTGATGAGCTGACCAACCAACAACTTGTAATTAGTGTTTTAGTAGTTAAGGACATTATTTAGTTTTGTTCTCACTTTAAAAACTCATTGCTACATGGAATAAAAGGCATTTCCATATAAGAATTTGGTTTAGGAAAAAAACATGATTTTCTGCCCAATAGCTAACTCTGATTTTCTGCCTCACCTCTTTTGATTTAAAACCCTTCGGAGGAGGGATGAGCTTGCATCTGGCTGTGTGTGGTGCTTTGGAGGTGCTCAATTCTCCCAGCAAAGCCATTGGTATAAAATAAGCAGAGTTAAATGTGTAAAGCACACACAGGGCTGTGCTGAGCTCAGGAGCAGTGGATGTGGTTTGGTGGCATTTGGTTTGGCAGGATGCAAGGCACTGCACAAGCTGGCATGGCAAAGGGA